CTGCCAAGACTTTGTGTCACGGGGTAATATAATTGATCATGATAGGTCGAACAGAAGATATCAAATTAATTACATTGCAAACAATACAAATTCACGTATCCAAACTTCAATACTTTCAACAATCCAAAGCATTGCGAAGTATATCACATCGCTATTACCCAAGAGTCTATAAATATGTATGGATCGTTAATGATGTAAAGTGTGGGAACAGCATACCTTTCCCTCCAGATCACCTTTCGCACCTCATCAGTTCCCGCCATCCAGTGAAGCCTGCAGTATTGCCAACCTCCTGTGACAACAGAATGACCTTGTTGTGCCAAATAATGGCAGGTTTATGAAGTTTTTCTATTATTTGTGGGAAATGGGCAAAAGTAATAGACATGCAGGTGAATATTTAAATAATGTAAATATTTGGTAGATATAGGTTTAATATATAGGCTATACTGCACAATTCTTGCCAAACAACATCCTGTATCCATCATAAGGTATCTCCAATAGTTTCCTTGCACACAGGACAACAAAATGTGTTTCTTTGGGGGGGGGGTTGTCAAGAAATCCCCATAGTATCATAAACATTACTTAAAGTGATCAATTCTAATGCTAAAAATACATCAACACCCTCATTGTCCCATAAATCAAATTAATAAATTGTGATAAAATACAACCTAAGTTTAAGTCATATTTAAACTAGTAGTGTAGATATAAAGTCAATGCTAGTAGACTCAAGGGTGAGAATTGTGTAGTGTTCCGATGTTTATCTTGACACCGATGTCAAACCAAACAATTTCTAAAATTTTATTGTATATACTTTAAAAAGCTGTTAAATCTGTAAATACCCTATGAACAAACGTATACTAAATTCGTAGATTGCTTTACAACTAAGACCTTTCTTCGAAAGACAAAAGTGTTTTATCTTTTTGTAGTCTGTCTGGATGAATCACCACCACGGACTTGGTGGCTTATAGCTAGAAGGTGAAAGGCCACGACCTTACTTTCACTATGATCAGTGCAAGCATCATTTGTACATAACTGGTTGAGCTACAACCAAACAAAGATCCAAATCCACGCTAATTTTATTAAGAGTGTTTTTAGATTATGACCATTTTTGTGGTGGATTGTGGTAGTTAGCACTCAATATATTTGGCTACCAAACAGTTTGGAAGTTAGTTATTTCATTTATTTATTTTACTTAAAAAAAATAAAGTGCATCACTATTCTACTATGACTATTGATTACCATTACTGTAAATGTGCAATACAGTTTGTCCCCATGTTACTCTATGGATTATAAACTGATTTATGAAAATAATATAGAAAAACACTTTTATTGGGAATTTTAGTTTGTTACTTCAAATTCTAAAACTGATTTTAAAACCATTTTACCACTCTATAGATCTAAAGGTTGTCGAATCGATTATAAGAAAGTCTTAATCTTTTTTGGTCGAAATTTGAACCAGCTGGTCTTTACTGGGCTAGGACACAAAACATTCTGGATGTAGAAACGGTTGTTCTTAGCCAATGGAGCCCTAGGATTCCAGTCCATTCAAAACTCATCGTTTGCTCATATTTCGGTATCAATTGAACCGTTGATAAACGATGCATCGATTATTGCAGTTAGTTGCACAAATATTGCAGTTCTTGCTACATCGGACACTGACCACAGCATCATATGCACGTGTAAAGGGCACGGTTCAGTTCCAATGGTTCTGAAATCCACGATCTCATTTTCTCGGTCTAATAATCAACGACAGGAAATGTTTGCTTTCAATATCACAGGAACAACTTTCGGTGCCGAACCAACATATCTGCAAGCAAGAGTTACTTCCTCCTAATTATGTTGATGGTTATGGTTCTAAATTGTCATTGGTGTTTCAAAAAGTTACGGGGATAATTTAAAACTCTTTTACATTCTAAAAAAGATTAATTCAAGTGCTTCTTGAAGACATGCTATTGGACCACTTCTTCCTATCTGCCAATCCACCTGGTTTGTAAATTACCTTTTTACAGAGAAAAATGTCCAACTGGTTTATAGAAACTACTACCATAGATAAATAGAACTAAATATAGACCCACAGCAGTGCTGCGGTTAGCATATGTTCTGGCCCCCCTAAGGGAGTATGTTTAATCTATGGTTCTGGCGTCCACAGCTAGGAGCGCCGTGTAGTTACGGCGCATGGGACGCTCCAGCGGTGGACGCCAGAACTTATGCTAACCGCAGCACTGCTGTGGGTCTATATTTAACTCTATTTGTCTATGTTACTACACTGTTAAACAAAACATGTTTTTATTAACAGTTTTTAGGTCTTCAGAACTTAAGGTTTCTCATCCCTTCTACACTTATCCTTCATTTAGATTCCGGTTAAACACGCTTACTTTTATAAATTCAGGGTTGAAGCTAATAATGCTCATTTAATTAATAATGATGCTCATAATGCATAATGCTCATAATTTAATTAATGGCAAGTTTGTTATATGTAAAAGAAAACATTTCTCACATTGAAAAGATATCTGATGTGCACAACTACTGTACTAGATCAAAAGATAATCTGTCTACACTAAGGCATAAGTATACAGCCACTCAAAATAGTTTTGAGTACCAAGGTGTTAAAATGTACAATTTCTTGCCTGCATCCATCAAAAACCTGTGTGTTTTAAAATTCAAACATGTTTTAAAAACTACTCTAACCCAGGCTTGCCTGTATAAACATGAAGAGTACTTTGGTTTAGAGTTTTAGATATTTTAGTTGCCAGAGCCATCTTGATTGTTTTGTTTTTATTTTGACGATTGTCATGAACTTTGTACATAGTTTTAACGACAATAAATCATTTCATTTCATTTCATTTCATTTCATTTCATTTCATTTTAAAAGGAGATAACACTGATGCGTTTCAACTATTAGCCTGTCAACGGCAATGAGTGTAGCCTATATCAGAAAATCAGAAATCAGAAAATCTTTCAGAAGATTTTTTTTTATATTGGAGTAAAATAGCCTGTGTACTTCGCAACTGAAAAACAGGTGTAAGAATTGTCATTAGTTCTTTTCTTGATGAGTATCTTATTTTTATTTTGAAAATTCTCACAAAAGTAAAATGCCCTCACCACAGCAAACCTACAGATTAAGCGAATTGCCATTTGCTCCATTTGATTTTTGGTTAAATGTCAACATTTGGTTTAACGAGTATAGGTTTACTGTTAAATTGAGGGTGATAAAGTGTGTTTTTAGAAAATAGCTTAGTATAAAATAAGTAAAGTTTGATCCAAATATTAATAAACATGCAAACTACAACGTTTTATTCATACATAAAAAAAAAATATAGAGAATTGAAATTTACAATTTTTGTAATTTTCTCCTTAGCCTATAATTGAACAAAACTCGTCAATATACGTAACTATTTGTTTTTAAGCTCTTCAAAATGGCTTACAGTTAATTCGGAATTTTTTGTTAAGAGGTAAAAAATAGGAAAACCCAATTTTTACCATAATCATCCCCCCCTTAAACCCCCTCATCATGGTCCATTTGAGTTTACACATTTGTATAAAAATTCATCGAAATAGGATGATTTTTGCTTCAGTTATCGTGCTAACGGGCACATATATGTATATAAGTTTTGAACGAGTGGTGGTTTTGCCCTGTGAGACATTAAAATAAAAATATAAATTGGACCCGGGTCCAGGCCTTACCATGAGACCTGCGGTTATATAGCTTAAGCTTACTCCCATTGTGGGAAATTCGCTAAAACCACAAGATTGGAAAGTGTTACAATGCTGAGGTGTAAGAGGCGCATTCTGTTGGTATAATGGGAAACTATCACTTCATTTTCTCGATAGGTAGCGACACCGTACGGGCACCATACTAATGTAATTGTACAGGAACAGGACTACCAGAGCCTTTGAATACTCCATATATTCAAGAAAGTAAGCAAATAAGCATAGCGAATGAACCTTCCGCTTAAGAGTATGCTACCGTGCTACTGTCAAAATCCCATTTCCTACCTTAGTTTTAAATGCTTCTTTCAGCAAAACCTGGCTTTGACTAAGTACAAATATGTACAATAATGGATATGAAATCAGTTTTTTTGTTAGATGCACACACATCTTGGTACCACTAAATTTATAAATATGTGGAATGTTCTTTCTTTATAGTAGGACATTATAGGACAACTACTATAAAGTATTTTCATATTTTTTAAAGCCATAAAACACCCTAGAATATTCTAGATCATCCTGGTAAAATTTGAAATTGTGTAAAAAAGTTATTTTCAAGTAAACTCATAGTTTCTTCAGTACGATTTCACTACATCTCATCAATGAGCATAACCCTATTGTCAATTAATTAAGATCGTCGATCTCTAAGAGACCACAACATCTACAATAACTTATACTAGAGGTCGTCCAGTGGTATAAAATTCCACCAAATACCAAAAATATGTAATGTATGGCCTACAGACATCTCTATTTTCACCACACGATGTACATAAAACAAATAAAACTGATTGGGATTTCTTTCGTTTGTTTTGATTTTATGTTTACATTTCGTTGTTATTTCGTCACCAGCAAGGCAATCCATGAGGCTCATGTTATTTATTTAAATTTAAAAGTAATTTTGTGCTTATTTTGATTGATAAAATAGAAGAATTACCTTATCCAACCACAGTTACTGGTATGACAACTAGTTTCGTTCCTTAGAACATCGTCAGGTCATTGTATGCAACCACATCATCAATTAAAAAGTCAATGCTCCAGGTCTACGTTCTGCTGGTCCTGGTAACAAGATTGGCAGTATATAGACCTAACGTATGCTCACATTTCATCCCAAAAATACTTACATGTGGGATTTCATAGTAATAGTATGATTGATTATATCCAAAATATTTTCGAGTCAAAGGGATAACAAAAACAACTGTTACTCAACAAAGATATATTTACAATATCTACATTGCCAGGTTTAAATAACAGTTCATAAATAAATAAATAACAAATAAATTAAGTCACCCGAATTCTTAACTCTTAACATCCTTGACTTCTCTCGTCTCCTCCAGTTTCTTGGCGGTCTTTACTTCCTCCTTGACTTCTTTCGTCTCCTCCAGTTTCTTGGCGGTCTTTACTTCCTCCTTGACTTCCTTGATCGCCTCTGCCTCCTTCGTCTCCTTAGTCTCCTTGGCTTCCTTGTACTTCTTGTTCTTGGCCGCCTTAGCAACACGGGTCTGCAGTTTCTTGTACGTGTCGATGGCGTCGTGTACAAATGCCGTCAGACTGTTCAGACGATCCTGAGAGAGCAGCGCTCTGGTGGATTCTCTATTGAACTTTCCGAACCCTAGAAAGCTGATGGTACAGATGGGTGTGAAGGCGCAAACGGCGGCAGTAGCAGCGCCTCCTAGGAGAGTGACGAGGGCGATCCCTGCGACCCAGAGACCGACCTTAGTGGAGAACAGGAACGCCAACGCGTTCAAGGGGAAGGGCAGGAAGTGCTTGAGAAGACTGGCGCCCAGGGCGAGGCCTCCGAGAGGTAGGAGGGCGCTGTGGGCTTCTGGGGCTGGACCTGGAACAATTTGAGGGTTGAGTGCACCTACATAAGTTGAATCGGTAGAACACTATTATTTAGAAAGCATTTATTGATATTAACCTTTTGGAAATAGATATAAACAAAAATGATTCTTCTAGAGATATCTTAGAATTTTGTCGTTACATGAGTTTCAAATTATTAAGTAATCTTTACATGTGGTATATTATAGTGACTTTTACTATCGTACAAATACGTCAATAGAACTATCTCAGCTGAACCGCTAAACGTTATTGCTCGAACAATATTATTAATTTTTCCATGTATCTGGAAGGTAACCTAAAATGAAAATACCCCCGCCGCAGCAAACCAGCAGACTAAGCGAATTTCCATTTGATTTACACTGAAATGTCTACTAATAACATTTATTCCCGATTTAAATAGAATTAGTTTAACAAGTACTTAGGTTTGCTGCATCAGGGAGGTAAAACTGTTTTTTTTTTATGTTAATAGTTAGTAAGAAATAAAAACATTTTTCAAATTCGATCAAAATATGTTCATAAACAAGCAAACTTCAACAGTTTACTTATATTCTCCATAAGAATAACATGGGAATTTTAAATTTACAATTTTTTAGAATTTTCTCCGTAACCATTAGGCGCATAATAACGCTTCAATATACTAAATTATTTGTTTTTTTAAGCTCTACAAAATGGTTTGGAAAGAAATTGTTAAATTTTATGTTTTTTGGGTCAAAAATGCGAAAAACCTATTATTACCCCATAAAAGCCCCCATAAACCCCCGTTCCCATGGTCCGATCATGCTGGATCGCGAACTCGTTCGAATAAACGTAGGTTTACACGTTTGTACCGAATTTCATCAAAATCGGATCATTTTTGCTCGAGTTATCGTGCTAACGGACACATATATATATATATAAATATATAAATATATAAATATATATATATATATATATATGAATTTGAACGGATGGTGTTTTTGGTCTCTAGGGACCTCGAAACGAAAAAAAAAATCGGTCCCGCGTCCAGGTCTTACCATGAGTACTACGGTAATAGCTTATTCCCTATATGGGAAATTCGCTAAAAGACACATTTGTTACAGGTTACAGGCATATGCCTCCTGTATACCATCCCCAATCGCTTACTACAGTTAGCAGTAATTAACGCTGTCGTGGGTCTTTTGCTAAATAAATAATTTTTCCGCAATATATATATATGGATTTGAATTTGATGGTGTTTTGGACTCTAGGGACATTAAACTGAAAAAGTAAATCGGTCTGGGTCCATGTCTTACCATGAAAGTTACGTTACAACTTATTCCCTACATGGGAAATTTGATTAAACAATCAAAACAAGCCAAACATTAAATTGACTAGCCCAAATTCAAACTCTTATGGACTGATTGTGTTGAATATTTTAAAACCTGTGATTAAAATAATTGAACAGTCTATTTCATCTTCTAACTGGTAGTTATCTTAGCTTTCTGTTTCTACTAGACATGCTACATCTAGATAGATGCTAAAACTATCAAGATAATTCCATACCTGTAGGCAACAGGAATCCCTCATATCCCGACTGGACGGTGAACCCCGACTGCTCCGGTTGGTTGTCCCAGGACGAGTACGGTTCAGGCGCGGGGGCTGCTGGGTAAGGGGCCGCTGCTGGGTAAGGTGCTGGGGGTGGAGGGTAGGCGCCCTGGTTGCCAGGGTTGATCAGGTTAGCCAGGCCACTGGTTGCGCCTCCTATGGTCCGTTCATCCGCCATCACCGCCGCGACTCCCGCCAAAAGTAGTGCACCCAGGAACTTCTACAGAGCAATCAGAGTGTTAGCAATAGTTTAAATTCACATACTAACATTTATATTCACGGTAACAGTGATTTTGGTACTGTAGATTATGATTATATCCTTAAAATCAGTATATATCTACTATTCGTATACAATATTATATCTATCCAAAAACACTGCATAGAGAAGCTTCTGGAAGGAAAACAGTCAGTATGCTCGAACTGTTTCTGTAGCTGTCTCATAGCTTAGTTGTAAATAGTATTTTGATTAATTTAGTTTTAATTTTTAAGAATATTTCTAATTTGTAATAGAGCTCGTCCCGCGCACAGGTCTTTTACGGCCTATGTGGGACTATTGTTCGTATTTTGTATATGTATATATTGTAAAAATTTTTTTGAAATAAAGCAGATTTTGATTTGATTTTATTTTATTTGATTCGTAGCATTTAAATCTGGCAACATTTTAAATATCCTAAGTGTGAAGTTAATCATTACTGTATATTTATGCCTTTCCGTCCAAATGGAAGGGTTTTCGTGTGATTTTTTCCTTTTTACTTGCTGCGTAAAAATACTGCACTTTGAAAATTCGGATGGAAATAAAAGAGGGTATTTAATTAGTTTTTGTTGTAAAAAACATTTAGTTTAGGTTTACTTCAGCCTTGAAAATGGAATGCAAAGATATGGAGGTTATGGATATTAGTATTTATGTTACATTGCTAAAGTTAATGTGCTCAGGAGGCATTTTGAAAAAAAAGTAATCCCCTTTTAACACTATTTAAAAATTATAGAAAGCTGCTGTCTTTGTTGCATTTGCGATTGAAATTCAGGTGTTTCGAACATTGAGGATTACATGTATTGCACTCAAACCCACCAAAATACTGCGCTACCTTTGGAGTGAACTAAGTCGGAATTTCAACAATACTTTTATTGTTAATTATTCATCTAAAAACTGTATACGGTCAACTGCTGCTTTGTAGTCCAAATGCTAGGGTGTGTGGGTTATATAAATTCGATATTTCATTTGGTGGCCACCAAAACCACCTAAAGCAAGTAACAACCGTATGTATCGAATTCATCACACACAATAAAAACTAAAATGTTTTGCTTATACGAAATTGAATTTTCTAATTTGAAAGTAGACGAAGATCCAAATAGACTGTCACATTGGTTTAAATATAACAACTGCCAACTAAGGGAGGAGAAAGTAAAGGTGATGTCGAAGAAAGTAGGCCGAATTGAGTATTGAAGCAGCTATTTTGGACCACTTGCTCAACAATTTGGGATTTTAGCAAAGTATGATCAAACAAAACATTTCTTAACTTTTGATATCATGTGTTTATATATTTTTCAATTGCATGTACATATTTAAATAAACTAGAGGTCGTCCAATGGGCGAAAACTCGACCAAAACTATGTAATGTATAGGCTTCTCTATTTTCACCCCACGCTGTAAAAAAAAAAATGTGATTGTAATTTCATCCATTTGTTTTTATATTCTGTTTATGTTTTGTTGTTATTTCGTCACCAAAATGGCAACCCATAAGGCCCGTGTTAATTTTTGTTTAATTTCAAATTCATTTTTGTGCGTATTTTTGAGCCTATTTGGATTTATAAAGGGATTCTGCACATCTATAGGAAAGTATTTTTCTAACAGTATGCGTAGATTTTCCCTGCGATACACACAAGCTGAGAAAAAGGTTTTAAAGAAACATGCTTGCCTATTGATATTATAGATAATAATTCCTCACTTTACGGATCTTAACATTGTTACAACAGAAATAAAGTGGATTTTGCAACTGTAAACGGACAATTTACACCATCCAAATATCTACAGATATTTGTATTTTTTATTTCACTAAAAATTTAATTAGTTGTCTGTTTACAAATTTAAAAGTTATTTAATTCATTTTATAACCAGAGTACCGAATATTCAAAACTCGATCCTTCTTTATACTACCGTATCATAAGGGGCAAGTAATGGATATCTTAGAAATTATTTCGTTAATAATGAGAGGAATGGTAAAACAATTAAAAATTCATCCGAAACTCCATAACCCAAATAGAGAAATATGTATATTTGGATACAATCAAAATTCAAAATGGGAGATTTCTATTTTTTTCACTCTTATTCCCATAAACTAACCAACATTTATCGTATTAGAGTAAGATATAATATATAACACTGAGGTTTGTTACAATAGTACTGTAGTTGGCTGCTAAACTGATTATGTATGTATGCACATTATTTTTTACATTTAATTTCTGGTAGTTTAGTCATTTTGTGTTCCAAAATGCCAATCCAAGTTGACGAAGTTGGCGAATCAGTCAATAAATAAAAATGTATGTTAAAATAAACATCCAAATACAATTCTATTAAGGTGGTGGTTGTTTATGAATTTTATTCAGGGTTGCAGCTTGTTTTTCCAGGGGGTAAACCTTGTTTTATTCATTGGTATAGATTGTTTTCTTGGTAGTAAAATAAATATTTTTCGGGAAAAAATTATATTCAATTTTATTTTTTTTAAATTTCCACACACAGGTCTAAATGGTAAAAGAGCGATTGTAATTATTAAGTTTCGCTATACAAAAAGTGTTTCTCAAATGTAAATATTGATAATAAGCTAGCTAAAGGCACTTAGAGAGGTAATGTAAAATGTTATTCTAAATTTTGTTTAGTTTACTAACGAAAAACGAAATTTTAAATCGTAACTTTTTATGATAATTTGTTCAGTAATTAAAATATAAAAAGATTGTAGGACAAATGTTAAATAGAAACGATTGAAAAATATTAACTTTGTTGCTCTTTAGTATTTATATATTTATAGGAAATAGTTTAGGTTTCATTTACCTTTTTTGGGTGTTAAGGCCATTATTATAGCTTACAACAAACTGCTTTTTTCTTGAACTTTATTATTTAATGCATTTACATCGGCTTAAGGGGAAATATTTTCTTTTCTTTTACTATTTAATTAACTGATTAATAGTAATATTTACAAACGAACAATCAAAATAAGGTGTACTGACACACACCTGTACTGGAAAATATACTTTATGAATACAAACTTTAGAGTTATTTCAACAGAAAGTAACTTGCTTTATGTACACATTCATTTGTGTTTTGGTCAAAAGCATTTCATAAAATAGCTAAGTGTAAATTTTCGCAGTTACAACAGTTTAAATATACAGTATTGAAAATAAATCCTTATATGTATTAAAATTTGTCATTTTATATTTTAGAATGGTGCAATTAGTTTGTAACCAACACGTCAACACTAATACTTGAATGGTTTGTTTTCAGATAAAAATGTTATAAAAGACTTTATGCTTTTGGAAGTAAATATGGATTACTCTTCTTTGCAACAAAATAAACCCCTCAATGTTTACAATATACAGGGTGTCCAGCTTCGATCAGGACAAACTTTACCAGATTATTCGGGAGATAAAAACAAGCAAAAAATATAATACAACATCATATCTCAAACTGTTTACCGTGTCTGTCTGTATGTGCTTTTTACAAAAAATATTTTTAGCTCCTTAACGGTTTGCGTTAAAACGCAGCAAAAATGTTTATCGTTTTGCACACTACGTTTGTGGAAAATATGAATAAAATATATCCGTTTCAAAATGGCGGCTATTTTTTTAAGCTTGTTGACCAATTAGCTGTTTACTTCAACTTCATATAACACTGTCCTCAGCTTAACAGCTTTTCATTTATTTTATTTTTCAAAAACAGCAATAGTCCGATCTTGACAATCAGTAAATAATATTTAGCAACTTTTGGTATGGAGTAAAGTTTTTACAAAGTTTTTTAAGATATGAAAAACATAAAAATAGTCGCCATTTTGAAACGGTTACATTTGAATTCATATTTTACACAAACGTGAAGGATAAAGATTTCAATGAAGTTGAAAATATATCTAAAATATTTATTGGATAAGAACTCAAATACATGTAGGAAAAGACTTATAATTGTACATATTCGCAAACTACAATAAAAATCCTCAAATTACTGAAAACAAAAAAAAATACAAAACAGACCAAATGTTTGAATAAATCTTAAAATTAAATGGCAACACGAACATTTAAAATCAATCACAGCATATTAACTTGAATAATTAAAATTTGTTATAACTTTTTTTACTACTTGAATAAAACAGGAATGTTCGTTGTTGGGCAAAATAAATATTGAAATTTTCTGAGCTTATAATTTTATTTTGAAGTACAATGTTTTAGAAAATTCTTTCCAAATATTACTCAATTTCACTTTATACAAAAATTGTATAGACTAAAGTTTACTCTATTTAGGCAAAGATCATATAGAAATCAATTATTTCCTAACGAGGACAATTTAAAATTTAAATATCTCTGATTACTGAGAGTTAATTGATATTAATCCAATTACAAGCCAAATCGTGTACTTACCATGGTGTCTGTCTATGGGGCTGTAGCACTGAATTACTGTACCGAGCACGGGCCAACCCCTAGGCTTATATACCACCCCTAACGGAACTACCCTACTTCTAATCGGCATGGTTTCACTTTCTGACTTTGTGGGTGACTAAGATATTCGAATAGTTAAATTGCAACATTTCTGTGATAACCAGATGGGCTAACTCAAAAATGTATAACGTAATGTAGAACAGCTGTTCCAGTTTCAGATCATCATTAAGTGTAATATTAATTCCTAGGCAATATAATCTCTCAGCTGTTCAGCTGATATTACTAAAACAAATGGGTTTTCATAGCATTTGACTATTTAGACAAAACTATGAGCTCAAATATAATCTAATCTTTCTCTTGTCTCCTTACCCAACACATACGTGTGTCAAAGGTTATAACATAGATGAACTAATCACGAATAATAAGATTGGATTATATAGTTCATCTATGGACATAATTTAACCATCTCCTTGTTTAATGTATACTAATATTTCTGCCTCATTTACTTTCTCCCCCTATAGTCCAGTAACAACATAAAAA